TGTCGTAAGAATATCATTAAAAAGGCCTTTGTCCAAGGATTCCAGATTACATATTGGCTTTTCTATTCAGAATAACCTTTCCTGTTTTTGCTTAGTGAGACTTTTTAATGCAACGAATATGCTGCACATCGCACAATGTTGTTGTTTCATATCAGGATTGCTTCAATTTCAACTCTATGTTTTTTATTTGCAAAGTATTTCACACAAATAACACCTAATCGACGTGCAATTTCCTTAAAAAAAGAACATTACACTAAATACAATTGCTATAGGCTTCTTGACTTATTTAAGTCTAAAATATGTGTGCGCAGTTCGTTCAAAACCATATGCTTATCAATTTGTGAACACGCATTTAGACCATTTAGACGTTTCTGCATATTCAACTAATTTACATTTACTTCACTTTGAAATAACTTAGCTTTTATTCAGTTTCATAGAGTGCTATAAACCTTTAGCGACTTTTTTCTTTATTACCTGTTTTATCCTTCGTTTTTGTGAGTTTCTTTGTTTCAACTCGTAAAACTGTGTCATAACACTGAAAGCTCATAACTATTTCATACTCTGCTCACTATTATAAAAACATTACTCTACTTTATTGTCCACTTTACGTGTAGTTTTATTAAATAAAGTTACGTCTACGCGAGTTTGTTTGTCTGACCGCGTAAAATGTTTTCTAATAGACCTAACACATAATGCTTGCAAGAAAGCGTAGCGTAAAATGCTGTGCTTGAAAATGATAGAATATGGAAATTTAAAGCGAAGGGCATGAAAACTATCACAAATGTTTTGTGGGTCGCGGCTAGACACTGTCAAGTTTTTGCTTCAAACACGAGTGTAATGTACACTTAAACGTTCTAGTTCCAATATACGGTGCTTATGCAATTTATGAACTTGAGCTCACAGGGTAATTTGAGAATGGTAGGTACTATTACAGTGCGCAGTCTCAGTTGTAAGAGGTAGGAATAAACACGAACTCAATGTCTCTTTACAACATAAATGTTAGCGCCAGTGTCGTTGTTTGTAGGTTGTGTTGTGTACTTTTAGCCTTTAACTCAAGTGTTATGATATATTTTGAATCCTTTTTGTTTGGACAGAAGTTTTGATAACAAACATGCTCTAAACTTCGAAGTTCAAGGATTCAATATAATACTATGTAGGCTTAATTAATACTAAACTAAGTAACTGATTATTTCTTCATGATAACAGTGAGAAGCAGAAAATTAGTGTTGACAGCTGAGAAGCAGCTTTTGGCTGCCGTAAATTCGCTCCATGGGTTGTGATGGGGATGCGGCCTAACACTGGCTGCACCTTCTCTATTCAAAGTATAGTTTTGTGCCTGATTTTAGCAAGCATCTTTAACAGGGCAGGTAAGAAAATACTTTGGACAAAATTTTATAAATTCTAATTAAATTCACATGTTATTATTTGAATACCCCAAACCTGTTTCTAATCTAAGTTTAATATGGCCTATTAGTTTTAATAAAACATTTTGTTTTAATCAGAGTTAGATAAGTACTAAATTAGAATTTAGATTGGCTTCAGAAATTTAAAAATTAAAGTTTAAGAGCCTACAGAGTACAGTATTATACAATTTGTAAAATGTTATGTATGAATGTTATAATTTACAAAGTTACAAATATATCAGCTTTATTCTGTGTGGAAAGATTCCTAACATTGTAATTGTGAAGTGCCCCGGTGGGACAGCGGCAAGTCTACGGATTTACAACACTAAAATCAGGGATTCGATTCCCCTCGATGGTCACAGCAGATAGCCTGATGTGGTTTAGCTATAAAAACAAACACACAAACAAAGTAATTGTGAATATTTTGTTATTCTATTGATTATTTTTAATTAGCCATATCATAACTTAAAGGACTAGTCCTACTACTAATAGTAGAGATGGGGTATATAATTGAACTGTATTTTCACTTAAAAGTTAAACAAGTTGCTTGTAAGCTGCATATAAAGAACATGATATCAGATTTGTTTTTCCTTAATCCTAATAGTACTAGTAGAAAAGAGAATTACAATGCCAACTGCATTAGCTTTTTAAACACATTTTTTAAAAAGAATTTATGCATCAAATTGCTTCTGGATCATGACTTTAATAAAAAATACATTTTTACTTGTTATGAAATCATCTATTCCCCCTCAAACTCTGAGAAAGTGCTGGAAGTGGAATCAATTAATATTGATGGCAACTCATTCCATTTGTCATTTACCCTGTTAGTGTTAGAAAAATAAAACTGTCTAGTATGTCCTTTATTGAAATCTTAAATTTGTGTCTTCTCATATTAACAATAGAGCATAAAGAAATCAAAAGCATTATATGTAATTACCTGTTTTGTCTTATAATCAGTATGTGGGTAAATCTCAGAGTTATACTGTGTCCTACCCATAATGGTCATTTTCTTGAATTATTTCAATCCTTTTAAATTAAATGGTTTTTGCAAGTTCATATGTTGTATTTACTTCCTGAATGAGTTGTACCCCCACCCCAATGTTTGTGGTAGATTTGTCAGAAAATGCATTTAGGGCACCATTTAATGAAAAAAGTCCTTTTTGTCAAAAATTATGAAATTGAATTGAAATCAACAGAAGTCAGTTGAGTTTTATACTTTTTGCCTTGTTAAATATTTTTTCATATTTCTACCTATATAAAAACATTATAGACATGAAATTTTATGAAAAATTTAACACATCTTACTAATATTGATTTTTCATAATTAATTCATGAGGAACATAACAAATGGTGATTTTAAACTCAAAAATCATGTCAACTACAAGGCTTGATTCACCAAAGCCTTCAAATTGAAGTCCAAAATACATTACAAATGAAAAGTCTATATGATCGTTGATATGGGTTTCTCTTTCAGAATGATGTTCATTCCTCACAACTTTGGGTACTTTCTCTTCACTTTCTGCCAAATGTTGAAACTTTTGTGAGACACAGAATCTACAGACTTGTAGAATTGAAACACAAAATTATCTTTGTTCTCTTCAATTGAAATAATCTGCCCAAAAAAATGTGTTGCCTGTTTCTTCCCTGCAAATTCACCTACCAACCAGCTCCCATTTTGCACTTCTCCCACAGTTCTCCTTCATCTTTAATATAATCTTTGTCATCATTGTTTATATCACTGTTTATAAACACCTCATCACTGTCAAGTTCTTTATTTCCCCTTTGTTTTGGTGATAATTTCATTGATGATGTTTTCCTTCTGTATATTAGTTGGAATTCCTTGGGTGGCATGTTTTATTCATAAATAATTTGTACAGCTTACCAGAGACAGGGATAACAGAAACTTCATGCAACTTTGGTGCATTTTATAGGCAATAGATTTGGTATTTCTTTAGCTTTCACTTCATCCTTTGTGTAGGTAAAGAATGGTATTGAAGGCAAAATATCTGGTAGACATTCTATTAAGTTGTTGACACTTTAGACGGACAAACCTGGATTCATTCTGATGACATCTTTGGTAGCATGCTTCTCATTGCCATCAATACTACCTGGAATTCCTTTTTCCTGGAAGAACGTAAAACATGTTTTAATATGAAAATTTGTAATATCTGTATCTTATTACATGGCACAGTTTCAAGATTGGTATAAACATTTGGTTTTTCAAATATTTGGCTTCTCAAACAGAAACTTCAACTGTTTAGCTATGGAAATCGACTCAAACATTTACATTCTCAGACTAATCGATGTGTACAGAAGCAATGTTTTTGTTGTTTGCATCTATTGGATCTACGTGGGTGTGTTTGAATGCTCTGAAGTGCATGAGAGTCCTCTGAAGATGGTCCTTCATGATGTTAAGCTCCCTTCATTACTTCTAGAAATATCAAAAGTTTAATAACATCATCATACTATTAATTACGTGTTTACCCTCCAAATATCATCATATAGTCTATCAATAAGAAAGGTTAAAGGCTCAAGAATTGACCCTTGAGGTACTCCACTGCTAACAAGGGTTCAGTTTAACTGAATTGTATTAATAATAACCTTTTACTTTCTCCCATTCAACCACCTTGCAATGCAATTAACTCGTCTCTCTCTAACCCTATTCTTATGTGATTTTCTTAGCTAATTTTTTGTGTGATATCTTATCAAAGGTTTTTTGAAAATCTAAGTACACCAAATCCACACCTGGCTTTTCCCATGTTCATGTATCAAGTAACATTCATGAAGAAAAAGGAAACAGATAAGTAAGGCAAGATTTTCCTTTAGTAAATCCATGTTAGGCTTTCATTTATAATGTATCACTAAATGATTTTGTAAAGGTTTTTTATCCAATTCTTTAGAATTTTTCATATTATGGAGGTTATTTTAACTGGCCTATAATTTCTAAGGCAATTCTTATCACTCTCTTTAAAAAAATGTCTTACGTAATCAACTTTCCAATCCTTGGGCATCTGACTATTATGTTTACCTACCAAAAATGAAAGAGAGACTCACATGGCTGATATCTGACTTCTTAAAACCCCAGGAAAACCTTGTCTGGACTTGGATCCCTGGTGATTTATCTACATTTAATATTCCTATTTACCACTTATGGATTAATATCTACATGCTTCGGTTTAATTCCATTACTTCCCATAGAATTCTCAGGGTCAGGAATATTGCTAATATCTTCTCATCTAAAAACAGAATAGAAGAAAACATTTCAGTGCTCAGCCATCACATAGCCCTGAACAGTAACCTTTTCATCAGCATCCTTAAAGGCCCAAGTCTACATTCTAACAGTTTGCTTATCTCTAACATATTTAAAAATCTAGCAGATGTATCTGTGTAATACAAGGTGAAAGGATTATGAAGGTTAACAAATCATTTATGTGAACCATTTATTGATATTACAGACAAAGGTCATTGTTTCATCTTACCCATGGTTATATCATTACTGGAGTTTGTGGCTATGTATGCATTTACAACCTTTTTCCTTTCAGTTGTCCTTTCTGTTTCTGGTAAGCTTCTCTTGCTTACTTTCTTTGGCATGATCACACTCTGACTGACATGTAAAATACAAGAAAGAAATAATGTGTATATTTAGATGTCTTATAATAAAGTATACACTGTTGATAGATATTGTAACGAGGTGTTTGTATCAATGAATATTATATTTCTGAAATGATTGGTGAGATTTGGAAATGAAATATTTAACAATTATAAACATAAAAATGTTTTTTTTTTAAATATTCCAGTGGCAATATAAATATTGAAAGTACATCAGAATTAAATTATTACCTTCCAGTGGGCTTGATTATTTAAGTAACATTTTTTTTTTATTGAAAAGCAATAAGTAAAATGTGACTTAAAAACTTTTCACTTAATATAAGTGTCTATCTTGAAACTATGTTTAAACAACGGGTGAAAAAAGAATTCCAGAATGGTACTACCTCTTATCACCCAAAGCTATTTTGACCTTGATTTGCCCTCTAAGTATTGCTAACATTTTTCAACAGCATACCAGTCTTTTATATCCCTTCATTTTTGCTCCATTGCAGCAACATGTGTTGATCTTGTGACTACCCTCCACCAAGCATACTGTGCCAACTTTATATCAGTTTCAACTTCAAGTTTTGACTTCTTGTGTTTGATTTCCATTGTTTCTACTCAGTTGTTTTAGAAAGATTTCTGTTTCCAAATTCTACTTTGTCCATATGAATTCAAAAGTTAATATGGTGGTTGTTGAAATCCCCCCCCACCCCATACATAGAATACTAGTCCCCAGGTCTCGGGGTTAATGGTGTCTGCTGGGGAAGCACAGGCTTTGGTTCATTGGGAGTTTGTGTCTTTTCCTTTCATGTTATGATTTTGTGAAGAGGAATATAACTACTGTATGGAAATTGTCTTTCTACAGCACTTTCTACCTGTTACTGTGCCTTCACATAATTTGGTGGTTTAGGTATTGCTCTTTATCCAGGAAATATGTGGTAAATTTTTCAGTGTATTTCTCACTCCCTATAGGTATACCCATGTTAATTGACTTTCTTTACATGTTTTTATGTTTTGTTTGTTCGTTAATCATGAGTACTTTCTCTCAGTATGTTTAGTGTGTATCTTTTGCTGCACTTCATGACAATTTTGTGGGTTCTATGGGTTCTGTATATGGTTTTCTGCCTTCCATTTTGCTTCCCCTCTATCTGCTTCCCAGATCTTCTTCCCTCCTCCAGTCGTCTTGCTGAGTCTGTTCAAGACCTACTACACAAAGGAGTTATCGAACTCGTGGTGCCCACTCAACTGGGATTTTACTCCCGTTTATTTGTTGTTTCCAAAATACGCGAGAAATTGGAGTCAAATCATAGCTCTTTCCCGGGTGTATTCTTATCTGGAAACATCTCGCTTCACTCTGGAGTTCTACCTCTCAC